GGAACCAGGGGCTCCTCAAGCCCATGTGACCCCTGAGGAACAGATCCTCAAACGGCCTTAAGAGTTAAAATAAATTGGTTTATCTGGGCCAACTGTATGGCCTTAAACACCCAAAAGGAAAATATAACCAAAGATTAAAGGGGCCAATATAATTTTTTAAGAGTCCATATGTATAGCTAAAGGCTACATAACAAGCAACAATGCCAGATAGGAGATACCTTCTTTTGAGTTGTAGGCCAGCGTGCCCCATAGGACTCCCAGATAGTAACCCAGCATAGAACTGGGAAAAATGAACAGCAGACCCCAATCTTATCTAAAGGAATATCGACAACCAATTGCTGCTAGATGAGGAACAGCTGACCTTCCTAAAACAACAGCCTCTAGATAGGTTAACTATATTCACCAGATGGACAAGTAGTGGGGTATGGCTGGGGGTGCCGACAACACAGCAGACAGTAGCAGGGATATCAGAGTATAAGGGCTCTAGTGGGGGGAGGGAGGCTATGGGAGGGTGCCATCTGGGAAGTGGGTGTATAGTTGAATAAGATGGTTTGGGATGTTCTTTGTGATATACACACAAAAAAAATCAACAATTTTTTTAAAAATGAATTATATTTGAGGAGGAAGCATAAAAATTTACGTCATGTTAATTAGTAGAGGTGATAAACATTACCACTGAAATCTACCTGATGACTTTATAGACATACACAGGTGCCAAGGATCTGAGTGCAACCGATTATGACTAGTAATGATCAGATACATACAGATGAGAGACGTGTGTGCCAACATCTCAGTGTTATTAGCAAAAACAATGAGTCTTTCTGTAAGAAACAGCATATTTTAAAATAAAATGGAGATCTTTTTTAAAGTTTAAAAACTCATTCAATTTTATGTCTTACGGGGCTTAGACTGAGTTCAATATTGTCTAACTGTATTAATCCAACAGCGAACCTAAAAATTTTATAGCCACTTTTGAAAGAGATGTACCTTTGCTCTGGAAACTGTTATTGAGTATGTTAAAGCTGTAATGAAATGCTCCTTCTAAAAAAAAAATATTAAAAAAAAAAATAAAGGGAAAAAAGGAAAAAAAAAAAGGCGATTAACAGATATGGCAGAGAAATGCTAGTGCCTTCATTTCTTTATTTAAAACATTAAGTCAAATCTGATATAAAAACTGTAACAACGGGAAACTTTATGCTTCTTAATAAAATGAGGTTTCATTTTTATGTGTGCAAGTACAATATGAGTAGACTATTATCAAAACTAACTTTTTGTAAATACCAATCACAATTATTCAAACTGTTCCAATGTTAATGAATATTCCACAATGGAATAATATAACAAATTGATTTTAAAAAGAGGCTGTACAATTTTACAAACATATATACACTTATATATTATAGTAAAATCTAAAATAATGAGAACAATCAAATCTAGCAATGTGCTATTACAAAAAATAAAGACTGGGGGCCAGATGAGGGGCTAAAGCTAAGGACAGAGCTCAGTGCCTAGTACACCTGGCTCTATCCATCCCCATCCCTTCCCTACAGAGAAAGAGACTAGAGAAGGATCATAACCTAGATATAACGTATGGTTTGCTTCACATTTATAAATCAATTACTATAACTGACCATACTCTGTAGTAAATATAATACAGTATGATTACAGCATAAAGGAAAAGAAATTGAAAACTGAAAATATTCAACACAGTTAAAAAGAACACCTCCTGGCAAAATAACTATGGAAGAGAATTTCCTAAATCTGATTCAACCATAAAGCACTAAAATCATCCCATTAAAAACCGGAAAGAGCCAGGCGTGGTGGCTTATGCCTTTAATCCCAGAGGCAGGCAGATCTCTGTGAGTTCAAGACCAGCCTGGTCTACATAGTGAGTTCCAGGACAGGTGGAGCTACAGGGAGACCCTGTCCCAAAAAGAAAAAAAAAAAAAACTGGAAAGAAGCAAACTTCTGTCACCACATATATACAGTATCCTATGAGAAGGACAAATCAATTTAGTAAGAACAGAAACACTAGCTGGGTATGATGGCACACATCTCTAATCCCATCACACAGGAGGCTGAATTGGCCCTTCAACTAAGACCAGTCTGTACATAGAGAGACACTATCTCAAACAACAACAAAAATGAAATAGGTGGATGCAGAGGCACATGATTACAACCCCAGCATTTTGAAAACAGAGGCAGGAGGACTGCTGCAAGTTTCAGGGTCATCTAGGTTACACAGTGAGTTCCAGCTATGCCAGGGCTATAGAGCAATACCCTACCTCAAACAAACTGTCAAACAAAAAAGAACTGCAGAACTACCATTGCTCTTAAACAATAAAAATGTCAACCCTGGGGACTGAGAGATGGCTAAGCAGTTAAGAATTCATACTCCTCTTGCAGAGGACCCAAATTTGGTTCCCAGCACCTACCTCAAGCAGCTTATAAGCATTTGTAACTCTAGCTCCAGGAGGATTGGATACTTCTGGCCTCCTCAAGCACCTGCACACACATGCACAGACACATGTGTACATAATTTTAAAGGGGCTGGTGAGATGACTCAGTGAATAAAGACACTTGTCACCAAGTCTAATGACCTGAGTTCAATCCCTAGAATTCACATGATGGAAAGAGAGAACTGACTCCTGCAAGTTGTCGTCTGACCTCTACAAGTGCGCGCACATGCGCACACACACACACACACACACACACACACACACAAACAAACAAACACACTAAATATAACCAAAAAAATGTTTTGCTTTGTTTTTTTAAGACAGGGTATCCCCGTAGCCCCAGCTACCTCAGAACTCACTATAGAGACCAGGCCTCTGCCTCCCAAGTTCTGGGATTAAAGATGTGCACCACCATACCCAGCTTCTAAAAAATTTTTTAAAACTGTCTACGTGGAAAACACAAAACCATCTACAGACAAATTGCTACAATAAAGAATTGACATTATAGAGCTGCTAGATTCAATCAGTAAACAAAACTGTCACCTTTCCATACACCAACAAAAAATAGGAAATGCAACCTAAAGACAGTTCATAGCAACACAAAAGTGAGATAAAAAGTTAAGGCCAATAGAAAATGTCAAGATCTTTAGGAATCAAAGATATCAACAGAAGAAAAAGGCATGTTCACGGCTACAGAAAATACTATGATCGTTAATCTTTATCATCGAGCTCACTGGAGGTAGAATCACACCTAGTGGTCTGTCTGTGAGGGTATGTCTAGAGAGATTTAATCAAAGAAGGCAGACCCACCCTGAATGTGGGTGGTAAGACCCCAAGGGTGGGTATCCATGGCTGACAGAAAAGAGAAGAACGTGAGCTGCGCACCAGCATTCATCTCTCTACTTCCTGGCCTGCAGACGCAATGTGCTCAGCTGCCTCACATGCTTGCTGTCGCACTTTCCCCACCACGATCGTCTATACCCTAAAACCATGAGCCAAAATAAACCCTTCCTTGCTTACGTTGTTTTGGCAGGAACTTTGTCACAGCAATGAGAAAAGTAACAAACACAGGAAAACTGCTCTTCATTCAGTGGCTTGCACACAGATCCAACAACATCTTTAATTCAGCACAATAACTACACAAGAGCTAATGGCAACTCATGAACAAGGTTTCACCCTATGGGCTATGCACTTGCATCTACTAGGAACATACAAATACCTACAACCTGAAAAGTATGAGACAGCTAATCAAAATGGTGGCCATGGCTTTTTTCTCTTCCTTGTTCTCTAGAGACCAGGAAACCCTGATGCTTGATTCTAGCATCCCATTTCTCACACAGGGATCAACTAGCCAGATCAAGAACGAAACGAAAGAGTGGTGCTACCATGTTGTGTGGGATGAGAAACCAGGGCTTCCCAGTCCCATGTCATCGATGAGAAAGAATTTTTCGTTTGTTTGTTTGTTTTGTCTTTCTGAGACAGGGTCTCCCTGTAGCCCCAGCTGTCCTGGAACTCACTATGTAGACCAGGCTGGCCTTGAACTCACAGAGATTCACCTGCCTCTGCCTCCCAAGTGCTGGGACTACAGGCATGTGCCACGACACCCAGCTGAGATTTTAGGAAAGACGTGCCTACAGAGACAGCCATGTTGCCCAAGCCTTGCAATGAGAAGAGGTCTGTATAGTTCAGGACTCTTGGTGAACGCCTGCTGCTGTGAAAGAGCCACACAGTTCCCGGGGAGGTCAACGGAGCAGAATGCACTCTAGGCTAGAGGGGTGCATTATACCAACGGACATTGTGTTAGCCCAACAATCCCCAGCAAGCATCACGGCATGTAACGACAAGCAGTACATGATGGGCCTAGGATAAAGCACTCTCAAAAGTTTCCATGCAGATGTAGCAGTAAGGGCAGCCTTAAGAGATGTCTTGAGAAGAGCCAGTTTTGACAGTGAATAGAGGGAAAGGTGAGGAAGAAGGCATTCTCAGTACAGAAAAAGCCTCTGAAAGCAGGATTGGGACAGCAGGAATCCAACTTCACTGTAAAGTAAGATGGCATCCAGAACAGTGCAGGGATGACCAAGTACAGCCTGGTCCAGGTGAAGGAAGCGCAAAGCAGGGGAGAAAGGTAGGCATGGAATAAGATAGGCTTCCAATTCAGATGGAGCATGGCTGGGATTTGTCAAGTGGCAGTGCCCAAGAAGAATGAGGAGGAAGAGCCTGGCAGGAGGCTGTGGAAAAAGGAAGTCACAGGGCAAGTTGTAGCCAAGGTGAGAACTGAAGAAAGTGACGGATTTAGAGCCAGCAGAAGCACCTAGACCTAGAAGAAAGAGAAGAAAGACACTGGGACTAGCCACAGCAAAGAGGCTTTCTGAGGTAAGGAGGTCCATCAAGAAGTATCATGACTTCCGTCGCTTTCCAACACTAGTCAACTACAGTTAAATTCAGAACATGTTACAAAGACAAGGCTTCTGAAGAAGAGGGGGCACGTTTCCTAACACAAGCACACGTTAGCAAAGATCTGAAGGCCAAAGCATAAGTTACCAGGTAGAAATGGTGATTTCCTCTTTATAACTTTTTTCTCTTTCTTATCTATCTTCTCAGGACTTTCCTGTTCCTGTTCCTGCTCTGTGTCTGTGGGGTCAGCTTGCTCAGCAGAGACATTAGACGCATGAGGACTCCGAGTGGACACCGTGGACGTCTGGGCATGGCTACAGTCGTTGGGAGGTGCTGCAACTGGAAGTGAAGACAGCCCACTGTTTTCTAAGGCTTGCTGAGACAGAACAAAACTAAAAGGTTAGAAAAGGCGACAGCCCAAATATGCCTACCAAATCTACCACAAGATGCCACAAAACTTTACCCATAGAACTCTAACTCCACTCCAAAAAATATGCTCTACAGTTCCAATAGATGTTTGTCAGACAGCTTTCCAATTCTTGGAGGCTGTGACATCCCTTTAATATCTGACATCTCACCCCCACACAAAATATAACATAAGTACTTACGTTTCTAAATTAGAGGGATTAAATTAATTAATCAACATTCAGAAACCTTGGCTCAGACAACTTGAGTTGCCTCTGAACAGATTTGGGAGCCTGTATCCTAGGACACAAGTTACTCTGTATTCACCTTTAAGACATTAGCTGTGACAGGACATCCTGTGTTCCTGATACTCCTAGCCATTTGTCATCATGAAGTACAGCAGAAAAGAGGAGGAGGCCACTTCACAAGTACTGGCTTAGAGGTGGAGAACTAGGACAGGGCTCTCCACTTCCTTCCTTATCTCTTAGATGCAGTGGGTCTACTACCATACCATTATAACAAAGCCAGCATCTATGTCCTTTGCACAGCATATGTCTAGGACTCTTAAATAGTATCCCAGCAACTCAGGAAGAATGAAATGCTTCTTCCAATTCTCTCAACAAGGATGGATCCAGGACAAACTTTAAAGAGTTTACTCTTGTCAAGTAAATCCATTTACAGAATAAAATAAAGGTTTCCATTTTTCTTAAATGTACAGATCAATGAACTGTTCAGCATTTGACAGTGTCCACTGATGAGTACACAGGTATATTCTGATTTATTATCATCATTTTCAAGACAGCCACATTTTCAAAGAGGACACCTTGCATCTTTACTGCTCAATAACCCCGAGAGCTCGAGGGTGAACGCATAGCCCAGCAGGTAATCATGCTTCACCTGGAGGATGTCCTGGCTGATGCCCACTGTCATGCTCAGTTGCCTCCCAGACTGTGGAGACTGTTGTGTCTCCACTGGCCCTGGCTCAGACAGTTCCAGTAGCTGTTGGATAACATCAGTCACTGTCTGAGAAGTCTGCTGACTGGAGGCTGATGAGACCTGGGCTTCCACTTGCTGCAGAGGCAGAGTCTGAAAGAGTGTGGCCTGGAAGACAGTAAGATTTTCATTAAAAACAGAGCTTCCAATCTAAACACAAAATATGAGACAACATCCTGCTTAATGGCACTGGAAGCTACTGCTTCCCTAACATAAAGTTCAAATGCAGTTCCTAAATGACTTCTATATTAGACACAATACTGACTTAAAAAAACACACTCAACAATCCATCTATAACTTGCTAAAAGTCCTTATTGTGAGTAGAGGCTATAAACCTTCATCTTTCCATTACCCACTAAAAAGAAATAAGCAAATTTAAAAAACAAAGTCAAGGTGAGACAAAGAGGCAAAGAAAGGGAGGGAGGCCAGTATGGTCAAAATTCCAATGCATTATTAAAAAACAAAGAAATAAAAGCTGGATAATGCTAAAGCCAAAAAAGTGGTGGAAAAACAAGCCTATCTCATTCCTGCCAGAAGCTGGAACTGAAACGCCATGTCGAAAGGCAATGAGAAGAGTACAAGTTCTTGGCTGGTACCACAGAGCTGGACATAGCTACAACCACAGAATGCACATAACCAAAGGGGAACCTCATGTGAACTAGGGTACAAAGTTAATAAATCCATACCCGGTCATCAATTATCATGCAATGCAAGGTGTTAATAACAGGAGAACCTGGTGGTGAGACATGTACTGGAAGGTCTCTATACTGCCTCCTTAAATTTCCTATATACTTAAAACTGTTATAAGGCCAACAACCTACTGACAAATTATACATACAACCAGATCAAAGAATGTAGTATATGTCTAGGCAAGGTTTATCTGAGAGCATTTGGTCTTTGCCCAAGCTCTATCTACATGGCACACAGTAATTAATAGTACCAGACTGGTGGAACTAACCTTCTTGGATGTTTAACAGACATACTTTGAGGCCTATACTAATTTGGTCAGGGGGACATAAAGGACAGTTTTTGCTCCTTGCCCTCCTGGGTTGACTAAGTTCCAGGGGACTATGAGCATCTCTCAAAATGTCCTGTAACTGTGGTGAGTCACCTGTCCTCTTGAACAAGGAGGCCATGGAGACCTCACCAGATGGACCTGAACCAGTGTCCAGTCTACAAAGAGGAGGGTCATTTCCTCCATGCTTCCAAGCAAAGCCAGCCATGGTGGAGTAGCACCTTTGACTTATCTTCATACAGACGGAACTGGTAAAAGAAAGGAGCCAGGGGTTCCTCCCAAGCCCATGTTACCTGTGAGGAACAGATCCTCAAACAACCTTAAGAGTAAAAATAAATTGGTTTATCTGGGTCAACTGTAGGGTCTTAAACACCAAAAAGGAAAGTATAACCAAAGATTAATGAGGTCAATATAATTATTAAGAGTCCATATGTATAGCTAAAGGCTACATAACAAGCAACAATGCCAGACAGGAGATACCTTCCTTGGAGTTATTGGCTAGGATGGCCAAAGAGACTCCCAGATAGTAACCCAGCATAGAACTGGGAAAATGAACAGCCAACCCCAATCTTATCTAAAGGAATATTGACAACTGATTGCTGCTAGATGAGGAACAGCTGATCTTCCTAAAACAAGGATTTCTAGATAGGCTGACTAGATTCAGCGGATGGACAAGGACTAGAGAATGGCTGGGGGTGTCGACAACACAGTGGATAGTAACAGGGATGACTGAATATGTGGGCTCCAGTGTGTGGGAAGGGAGAGGCTACGGGAGGGTGCCATTTGGGAAGTGGGTATATAAGATGAATAAGATTGTGTGGGATGTTCTGTATGATATACACACACAAAAAAAAATCAACAAATTTTAAAAAAAGATTTATATTTGAGGAGGAAGCATAAAAATGTACTTCATGTTAAATAGTACAGGTGATAAACATTACCAGTGAAATCTACCTGATGACTTTATATCCATACTCAGGTACTCAGGACCCGAGTGTAACCAACTGTGACTAGTAATCATCAGCTACATAGAGATTAAAGACACATGTGCAAACATCTAAGCGTTAGGGAGGGAAATGGATGCCACGTGCACCACCCAGCAGTGAATTTGACTAACAATGCCTTTGGACCAAGCAGTCTGGAGGCAGAGGCCCTCAGATCTCTGTGAAATCTAGGCCACCCCGTCTCCATAGCAAGTTCCAGGGCAGTTGAGGGTACAAGGAGGCTTTGTCTCAAAACGATCAAATGTACTCTTGCTCTGGAATGTGTTACTGAATATGTTAAAGCTGTAATGAAATGCTTCTTAAATCATGCGGTTATTGATTTTTTTTTAATTTAAAAAATAATAATTCTTTAAAGCATAAAAATTTGCTCTTTAATAATTAGTAGATGTGAAAAACATTACCATTGAAATCTACCTGATGACTTTATATCCATGCTCAGATGCCAAGGAGCTCAGAAAGTAACCTTCTGTGACTAGTAATAATCAGATATATAGAGATTAGAAATGCATGTGCAAACATCTTAGAGTTAATTGCATTACAAATGAATTTTTCTCTATGAAACTGTGTATTTTAATAATGAATTAGAGATCATTTTTAAAGGTTAAAACCTCATTCACTTTTATTAAAGAGCAAATTT